GCTTTTTCATCAGAATTACAAACAATTGCCTGGAAAACGCTTTTTAATCCTGACCAATAAAGCAATCGGGCTAGTTCTCGCAATGGCATCTTCCAGCAGTTTCAGTCCGGCTGAAGAAGCTCTCATCCCTCTTACTAGAGTTTGACCCTCTATTGTGCTCTCTCCTTCTATTTCTTTTTCCTCATCTTTCCATCTCTCTCTCTCTCTCTCTCTCTTTCCCCTTCTTTTCTCTCGTTCTCCCGAGACCACCGATAGCGATGCTCGACTCTCTCGTCGCTTTTTAAAACAATCGGCGCTCGTAAACAACGTCATTCCCAGCCCTTTGTTTCCACCGTCATTTTGCAGCGAGCTGCAGTTAACATGCTGGTTGTTGCTACACGGACAATTATTTTTATTGCTCGCATCCGACGTGTTTCCGACGGCAGCGGTTTTAGACATTCATTCATCCTGAGATATAATCCACAATGTTGGTGCATTCCTATTTGGATTTTAATGATAAATGTTTATTTCACTTTAAGTCTGTACAATCACATGTACAATACGCTCCAAGTTGCACTAACAATTTCTTCAGTCGTTTTATAAACTTAATTATTATTTCTATTATATGTTATGTATTTATTATTTGTATTATATTACTTTCGTGTCTCACACAAAAAGTATTAGTATTAAATAAATGTTTTTATTTAGACAAGAATATTATATTTCATGATATTTCATGAAAAGTAGATAAAATTGAAAAAAATAAACATTTGTTTTTAATAACTATTTCAAATAATATTAAATAGAGAAATATGGAAACGTAAATAAATGTAAAACTTGTAAACTTTGTAATTATAAAAATATATATATCGAATATAAAGAAAATAATTAATTTACTTTTACGTTTGCGTTTGCGAAAACTTTTTTATTTTGCAGTTATGTTAGTACTTTCTGAAAGGAAACTTTATACTTGGATCTTAATTTATACATTTATACAGTAAACTCTCCTTTTTACTTGAAGATGTTACTGATTTTCTCTTTATTTCTTAATAACATATATGACCGATTCAAATGAAAAATTATTATCATCATCGCTGTTGCTATTAAAAAATCTACCTAGCGGTTATTCAGCGCGAAAGCTTTAAAGCCTTTGAAACAGTAGACGAAAGCTCTTAGCATGTCGAAGTCGGTTACTGGCAAGCGCTAAATGGAGCTCGACGATTTAAGAGCGGCATGCAATCAAGTGAAACATGATTATTTGTCGTAGTATTACGACATTTCAGCATTAGAAGATTTTAGTAAAAATATTAGAAAAAACAAAAAATTGCACAATACATAAATGTAAATTCAATTTAAGTCTAATTCCACATTTTTAACATTAATATAAAGACTTCAGTTTAAATTAAATTTGGCGCCCATCAGTTCGTTAGTAATACTTAATTCGTGCTATTACTTTGACGCGAAAATCAGAGATGACGCTGCGGCGAAAGCGCGTCCATATTGTGCGAGAGCGCGTCCATGTTGTCGTTCGTTACATTGATAGTTGTATCGAGAGATTGACGAACCTTGTGTATCAATAAAGCATTTAAGCATTTTAAGCAGAAAAGGTATTCTTTCATAGAAACCTACATAACACAAACAATTAATTTTTACAAATTTGATTTTAAATTAAATTATAGGTTAAAATTTAATCAAAGATTTATATAAGTAAATAAATATATTTGTAGCATCTTAATTTAATTTCTTATATATACATATATATATATATGTGTATAGAAATATTATATCTAATATTCTGTATATGTATGTATATATGTATGTAGTTTATATGTAAAAAAGGATAGTTTTGCTGAGATATTTAAAAATTAAGTTAGATACAGATACAAAAATAATTTTGTTGAATTATTAAAATAATTAGTAGGACGTTCAAACAATGGTTGCCAGAATATCAAAACTTTTTGCAAACAGTACTCATTCTATTTCAGATTACTATATAATTATTTTCCACATAATTATATAATTTCGATGATTCGACAAAATTATTTTTAAATTTATATCTAGCTAAATTTAAAAAATTTTGAATTATCCAAATAATTATATAGGACGTTCAAATTGATTGCCAGAATATCAAAACTTTTTGCAACAATGCTATTTTAGATTTCTACATAATTATTTTTCGCATAATTATTTCGACGATTCGACACTATTTTTTAATTATTTTCGAACCTATATCTAACTAAATTTTTAAGTACTTTATCAAAATCGTTCTTTTGATGGCATATGTTGTAGAAAAATATAACATATAATTTAAATATACATATATTAACATAATAAATTTTCTTTATTTCACTGTAATGCAAATATATCAGAGGATAATTCTCAATGCACACTTCGCTCTTATTGTTTAGACAAATACTATTCCGCGTTTCTCTCTTAAGGGGGCTTGTTATGGGTGCCGGAGCGCATTTCGTCTTTTAATTTTACTACGGCGATTTGGCCGTCGCGATTTCAACGAGAGACTCCCGAGGATTAATGGCAGGCCGGTTGGGAGGACAAGAGTGTTGAACAGCGACGATTAAGCGTCGTCGCATAAGAATGCATCCCGAGCGCATAATAATCCCGGACGATGCCTCATCGCAGCAATAAATGTCTTGCCAAGCGACGCTCGGTATCATCGCGCTGAAGAGAAAAGGCGGATAAATTGAAATTATTCCATGCATCCCTCGGAAGGACTGCTCTAACCCATAACTAAGCCTGCCGTCTCTCAATCGTCAGAGTTAAATCTCCCCGTAAACAACGAGTGATGGCTGTGAAAGAAAAGCCGGTTGACTTATTACGTTCATTGATCGTTCTAGGTGGCCATACAATTCTATGGAGCTTTAATAGATGATATATATCGTATAATAACGCTAATGAGCAAATTTATTTACCGTAATCTTCGAAGCGAAAAAGAGATGCTTCAATTATCGAAACGTATATCACCGCAAACTTTATCATTTGTCGCTATTTTCATACGCGAACTGAAGTCCAACATGAACGGCGGTTTCTTGCGCGAGTTTGCACGCGGCTTTCATTAGCGGGAGTTACCAGCCGGAAGGCAGAAGCGCGGTTAAAGTTGGGAAGCTGATTGGAGTACCTCGGCGGCTCTCCTCTCCCTCTCACCACTTCCTCTCTTTTCTCCTATTCCCTTCAATCGTTTTCCAACTTTTCGAAAAGTGGCCGCGTTCATTAAGCGTAAAACAAACAATTCTGTTGAAATTCAATGATCTTGTTTATTCTCGCAAAAGTTACCCACCATATTTGAAAAAATCAAAATTATTGTTTGATTAGCGTTTCTTTTGTTTCTTTTTCTGCTGATTCCCAGTCAGAAATGATAATGGAATCGACATCGAATCGATGTCGATTTGATGTCGATCGACATCGAATCGACGTCGATTTCATTATTATTTTTGACTGGGAATTGTCTCCTAACTTTTCGAACGTCCGAGAGAAGCTCCACTCGGAAATACGATATTGTGGATAAGTATTGAGGAAAATATCCCCAACACTTCTGTCTTCAAATTACGGCTCATTTCATTCTGAACAAATTAGGAAATAAATTTCATAACGCCATTCTCAAGCAATTTAATTTCACGGATGTAAAGCTGAAAGGGTTAATCAGCGGAGAAAATTAACGGACGATTTTTTTGCAATAAGAAGATTTGGACAAAGTTGGCGAGCTCCAAGGAGACCCATCGATTTTACAATCTATCTCCCCCCCTTGAGCAGACTATCATCTCCCTTCTCTCTCTCTCTCTCTCTCTCTCTCTCTCTCTCTCTCTCTTCTTTCTCCTGATAACCCGACATCCTCCAGCGGAAAACGAGGGGTTGGGGGAGGAGAAGTAGGATTCTTTTCTTTTTCTTAAAATGTAGGTACGTCGCTGATTCGCAGTTAATGAAGCGAGAATGAACGCCGACAGGAGAAAAAAGACACGTTTTGTAGAAATAGGGTACGTGCGTCTGTGAATTTTTCGCGACGGCCGAGATAGGATTTTTTTTTGCAACTCGGGCAAGCGAAAATCTCGCGCATAAATGGCCCGGTCAGGTTGAAGTTATGTACCGAGAAGTGCGCCCGCGCCGCACTTTTCCCGCTGCTGCAGTTGCGATTCTTTCTTACGTTAGCGTACCGGAGATTAGACAATTCATTTACCGAATTACTTAAATAAAAATCTCATTAAAAGAGATACGAAGTTTGAATAAATTATTATAAAATTAATGATTAATGAACAAGTGTTAATTAATTAAATAAGATTTAAAAAGTAATATTTAAAACAGATTTATTATTTGCCGTTATTTAATAAAAATTATATTTTTAATCAATAATCGATTATATCAATACACACCACCGCATTACTATTAATTTATGTAATAAATATGGTGAGAGAGAGAAAGAGAGAGAGAGAGAGAGAGTTTCTTCAATTTTTAATAAAGTTTGACTTATTTTCTCGAAAGATACTTAAAAGAAAAAGTTAATGCGATGAATCATTGAAGACACATGTTCTTGATAGCAATAAATTTAATGATGACAATTCTCTTGTGCAAAAAATTGATTGTTTACAATATTGTATTTTTTTATATTTGATATTAAATATATGTGATTGCTATTAAATATATATTGATTTATTTAATAAATGCACATAAAATATAATAAATTATAATTGTAGTATTAATATAAAATATATATTTTTTTAAATAAAAAAATTTATATGGTACAGTATATATTTATATAAAATAAATATACAAATATTTTTTATAATATTAACTCATAAATTCCTTTTCTTTTTTTTTAACAATTTGTATATATATTTGTAGTAGCAGTTATCAATTTTCTAAAACCAAAGCAACAACTTCTAAACTATTAATGCAGGACTTTTCTTTATTTTTCTCTTTCTTTATTAAAATTAATTATTCTCGTAATAAAATAAATTCCGATGTTTTTCTTATCGAGTTGTCTACTTAATATCTTATATCCTCTGTTACAGCCTTTCCATTACCGCCGCCTTGTAGTTACGTGAGGTACAGTAGCCTGGAAGACGTGAAGCCGAAGGAGTTGGGTTTCCCTCAATTAGAATTCACGCCCACGGTCGTCTCAAAAATACGGTAAGACTGCTCTGCTTGCCCTGTTCATTCTTATAATCACGCCATTGTTAACTCACTATTAAAAGGGAGGCGAATGCGCCCTGCAAGCTGTCAAGACGGCTTCTTAAAGGGTCTGAATTTAATTATCCTGGGTCGGTAACCTTCCCACTCCTCCTCTTTTCCCACCGGAATGGAGTGCCGCCCGAACAGCAAGCGAATCTCCTAATTAGCGATGCGGTAGCTGCCTTTTGCACGCACAGGGAAAATTTGCGTCGCAAACACGGAAGGGTGGTCCGGCGTAAAGGGCGAACTCGTTTCAGTGCAACGGAGGCGGCAGCGTCCTATTTTGCTTACAGCGCAAACTAATTACGTTCGGTAATCGAACGCGCGATCGAATCACAGTCAATCAGAAAATTCCGCGTCTGAAATCCGCGACGTCGAGACAGAGTAATGGGGCGTAAAATAAAATTGACTTATTAATAATAGAACAGGATTTTTTTTTTAAAGAAATAAGAATAAGAGAAGATAAAAGTAAAAGAAAGAAAAGAGAAGAAGAGAGAGAGAGAGAGAGAGAGAGAGAAGAAGAAGAAGAAAAGGGGAAAAATAAATAGAAATAGTATTTATTTGAGTGCTGTAGGATATCTCTTCAAGCGTTAAAATTATTATTACATTTATAACAAGCAAAAGTCAGTATAAGTAGGAAACTGAATGTCGGTGCATGTAAAGTATTGTATAATATACGGGATAGAAAAACAAAAAGAAAATTCAATTATAATAAAAAATAAGATAGAGATGATGACAAACAAAATTTATATAATAAAATAAGGTTAAATAAACATGATTTAAAATAAAATAAATCTGAAATTACAAAGATAAAAATACAAATATTTACAAAAATACAAAAGAAAAGATATGATTTATGCTTAAAATTAAACGAGAGAAGTAATATTAAGTATAACAGATAAAATACTTATTATTCCTTGCTTTAATAGCGTTGCATCTGAAAGATGTTTTTAAAAATTTAGGACTGATAGAATGTTGTTAGTTGTTTTTATTGCGCATGAAGTTTTATTTTTCTTAAACTTGAGCACATCGTACAGAACATTAGCCCCTTTTGCACTGCAATATTAAATATTTTAAGCATCTTGCTATCTTAATAATTAATTGCAAAATAGGACATTTGTAGATACTTTAGCAAAAATTTTGAATGCAGGTAAACATTCCTTCCTGTTGAAATATTGCTTTCATGTATCGTGTGTATCTACAGAGATACTGTATATAACCTAACCTTTATATTAATTCGTATTGCAAATAACTTCGGTATTGTGGCGGTTAAGTTTGACTCCGTGTTAATCATGGACTTGGATGGCATTAAAGAGTCGTGGTTAACCAATGTAACGTCTTTATTTAGTGCATTACAATTATATACGATCCACGTGTGTCAGAAGTCGATAAACGAATGTGCTTTCATCTCGCGATCAACAGTCTGACTTCTCTCATGGAAAAAAGATTGTTTATCTTCAAACGTTCAAGAGAGAGTTTCAATTTTAAAGATTTAAATGTACACGATCCTTCGGTTTGATTTATCTTAAATCCTATAGTGTAGAGATGACTTAAATATTTTATGTACATATCGTGTAAGCAATGCAAAACATCATTATATTATTATTTTTATTACATTAATGTTATCATTATGTTATAACTATTTTTAACAAAATCTGGGAACAACTGGTACAATTTGCAAATATTTGCCATTAACTTTGAGTATCAATTTTGAAATACTGATTACATAGCAAAAGAAGGGCCCAGCGGGAAGAATGAAGGTAGAGAATAGAGCAATGGATAAAATTGGCAAACAAGCACTGGATGCAGCGCGAACTAGAAAAATCATATTGACTGGTCAAGTAATTCAGAACGTACGAACCTCTGTGCTACCTAAATTATTTAAACAGGAATTCAGTCGACCGCAAGGATGCACATTTAATCAAAGGGCGATTGCGCTATTTCGGTGGTGAGTTTTGGAAATTCTCGAGGTATTTCATGGATTCGCGGGAATTCGTAGAGACACCTACAAAGATTAGTAATAACTTACAAAGGTTCAAGATGTCGTTCGAGATTTCTGGAAATATGTACGACGATCAACATTTGAACGCGCGTAAAATCAAAAATTGAATTAACATTTTTGTCAGATCGAACATTAACCGAGGTTTTTACTTAAAAAAAAAAACGTCTGCGTTTTAATATGACTCAAATAAGATACAAAGTTAGACGATCTCACATAAATTAGAATGATTCGGTTACTTCTGCGCCAGAACTCGCAAGAATCGATCTCTGAATGTTACTCAATTTGTTGTTCTGTTTAAGAACAGCGTAAATTTAATCACTCACATCATATTCTTCATACTTTAGATCTAAGGATTTCTGAAGGTACAGCATGGCATGAAGAAAATTTAAATATGTAAAAGATAAGTTTAATGAAAGTCATCCGCAATCTGAGTCCTTTTTGGCATAAGCGACATTTTATTTACTGCCATTATGGATTAAATTTAAATTTTTATTAAATGAAGATTTTAACATTTAAGTTAAGAAAATATTTCGTAATAGAGATGTTGAAAGTAATCCTGAATTTTTTGAAAGTCTAAAGTAGTAAAAAGACTTACGCTTTATAGTAATCTAAAATTAAAATTATGTCAGAAGAATTAATTACTATAGATATCATTTCGAGTCAAGAAGTTTTCATTGAAGCAAAGAGTGTATATACATCTCTTTTTTTTATTAGATCCTATTAATAGTTTGATAGAGCGTCAGTCTAGATCGTATTCAATTTATGTTAGATCGTGGTTTAATAAGACTCCCAATTTCGCTTGAAAATGACATTTTAGATCCAAGGTAAAGCTACAAAACACGAAGACACTTTAGTCGATCTTCGATATTCCGCCATCGTAGCGACGAGTATTACAGAGAAGAGGTAGTAGTATCTGAAGCAGTATCGGGTCGTACACACTCATGCACGGTTCGCCCTGGCACAAAGGAACGTGTCCTGTATGACGTGCCAAGGCTTCGAATGATCTCTGTCTTTCTCCCTCCATTTTCCTTCCTCCTTTTCCTTCCACTCCTCTCTCTCTCTCTCTCTCTCTCTCTCTCTCTGGTTCTCTCTTTTGCTTCTACCTATGTTTCCTCATCCGTGCATCGCGTAGATAGAGCAACAATAATTTAGTTATTGAGACTCTATCGATAACGTTGTGGCCAGGACAGCCATTGATGTGGCTTGATTAACGAAAATTCTCCTTAGTCGGCAACGACATGTCTTCTGTGTGTATGTGCGAGCCCAGCCGATGTTTACGCGAACATTCCTGAACGCCAAGGGCTAAATTAATCGGCGCGATGCGGCTGGTAATTGAAGGACCACCAGGGGAAATGGTATCCTCCGCTTCATGAAGACTAATTATTACAGAGAGAAGGAAAAGGTCTCTTGGTTTGCTTTAATTTTAGATAGTAGATAATTTTCACGGAATAGTTAATGTCGCAAGTGCCAAATTTATTTGAGACATTATAAAATATCAATATTTTATTGTTACTATTATCTTCAATTTGCTGTACGGAGTTAATGAAAACTTTCTGCTGTTTTTTTTTTTATAATCGATTGTATATTTGTGCGAAATATATTAAAACACGTCAATTTTAAAAGAGAATGTATAATTATGATAAATTCAATCACACTACTTTATTCACTTGTGTGATCAGGATAGATCTTTAAAAAACTTTAAATGACAATTGGAGTCAAATAACACATCATTTTAAAAGTTTTATCATTCTTTATATAACTATTATTTTGTTTCTTTAATTAGGTGAATATTTTTTTCAGAAATCATATATTTGAATGTTATAAGCATAGACGTTATAAAATAAAAATTAGTAACTTACGGAAAAATATGTTTTAATAAATGTTCGAAATTTATTTTTATGAAAGGTCAAATTATCTTCTACAAAGTTATATAAATAAATCTGAATTTAAATTTATTGCACATATTGGAAATATTTCTAGTGTTATTCTATGACACTTATTTACTATTTGCTGAAGAAGATTTAGTTGAGCGGCTTACAAAGTCGTCTGATTTTTCTCTATTAATTTTTTTTCTTTGAGAATACCTATTTGAAAAATAAAATTTGTGTCGCTGAACACATACAAAATCTATGTCAAAAGATAGAGTGCCATGGAATTACGCTGGAAATGTCCGCAACAACTTTAAGCTGAATTTTTATTATTACATGGAGGTTGGTGGAAAACATTTTAAACATTTAGCGAAATAAATTTTTCTGTAAATTGCGAATTTTCAGCTTTTACTACCTAAAAACTTTCAAACATGATTTCTCAAAAAAACATTCATCTAAATTTTAAGAACAAAACACATTTTGTAAAGAGAATTAAAAGACTTTTTGAGGTTATGCCAAACTATATCAAACTATGCCAAACTATTAAAAATTGAGAATTGCGAATTCGATCAGTCAGAACGATTAAAATTCAAATTATCTTATCAACTTCTAATCTTCAATTCACAATTTTCAGTCTTCAATTTGTAATTTGATGCAGAATTAAAATAATGTGACACTTAAATGTTATCATTCAAAATTTTTTGATAGATATTCTAATCAAGAGAATAAAACCATACAGTTTGATCTATCACAGTTATATATTCCTTTTGAAAACAAAGTTGACGTATTTTTCAGTATATTTCAAACAAATTAGAAAACGGAGTAAAAAGTTTTTGTTGACTTACTCTGTAGAAATAAATTCATAGAATTTTCTAATCATAAAATGAAAAAAAACGGCATTCTATAAATATTTCTTCTCATATTTTTGGCAATCTTTTAAAAAAAAGGAATTGAAAAAAGGATTTCAATATCTTCAATAAACCAAAGAATTCCGCAAATCTTATATTGTCTTTCAGACAGTTTTACAGATCTTTGAGAACGCTTCGAAAAGTTTAGATGTCTTAAAGAATTTTCAGAAAGAGTTTAAA